TTGAGATTTATGGTTTTGTTTTGTTCAGAAGTGGAAATGGTTCTTTCCTGATAAAACCAAAGGTGGTTACTGCAAGTACTGCAATGCTTTTCTTTTAGTCCTTAATCATTTTGTAAGCTTAGATTATTTTTTTTGTTCGGGATGCAGAGTTGCAGGAAAGGACATTAGACAAAAATGTGTGACCCGGATATAATAGGCAATGGGTACAGGAAAGTGTGCAGAACGATAGAGGAAGGACGAATTTTGAACCTTTCCTCCCCTAATGAACCCGCCCCTTGTCCGTGGCATTTATGTGGTTCACTCCTCTTCAATTGTGTGCTATAGGGTGTGTGGCAATAAGCTTTTGCACTACCTTCCACTTGGTACACTGATTATTTTGAACCGATCTGGTTGAGCAAATGTTAGTAACCTTCGAATTAAAGTACAAAGTGATATTACTATGCCGGAGTGAAGCTTAACTAAAAAAAGAACAACAAAGCGTGAAGAAACTAGAAGTCACCCTATTAAAGGAACGTTGCTAAACTCGAAATTTGGGCTAGTTGGTATGACCATATTTGAGAATTAAAACAACGCAAAGGACGAGAGACCAGACGAAGAAAGACACAGCGCACACTTACCAATACATTTTATTGACCCAAACAGCGCTATATATGTCAGAGCAGTCAATAATAAAAAAAAAGAAAGAAAGAGAGGATTAGCTTATGAAAACACAAACTTAAAAAATGCCCCCAAAAATGCCTTAAAAGTAAAGAAGCGCACAACACACGCAAGTCATGGTAGGAGGAAAGCAATATCTTTTCTTGAGAGAGCAATTGGAGGACGCCTAATCTTGCTAATTCTAAGGCTTCAAGAATTTCACGTTTCAGCTGGTCACAGTGACGTTCCATAAACTCCCATCTTTTAAACTCGGGCACGGAAAGAGTCTCGGCAATGAAGACCAAGGTTACCAGATATCACCATGGACACATTGTAAGCGTGTTGCCTTAGCCTGTCTAAGAACAACGGCCTGCTTGGCCCGTATCACGATTGCCGCATGACAAAGGGAGTGAAGGAACCACCTTTCAACAGAAGTGACGAAATGATAATGATGCTTAGTCTTGCAAGTCTAAGCGTCTTAAACAGTGATTTTGACGGCTCTGCACAACCTTTACAGTCTCTCAGGAGCGGAGAACAAGAAGTCCGCTTCACATCCGCCTGCTATTCTTTTGAGATCGTTGGCCAAACCGTGAATATGCGGAATGACAACAAACTTTATTTTTTTCCAGTGCTTTTTTTCTAGTATCTTCGCACGTCATGGGCATAATCTTTATCTATTTGAGCAGAGACTCGGACACCGCTATCAACAAGTGTAACGGCAAATCAGTAACGGTGAGGCGTTGCGTTTGCTTATTGAAGCTGGGTTAAATGTTTTTGAAGCAAGACCTCCGCAGAGCATGAGTATAAAAGGTCCTTGCAATCGCCCGCTTTACGATTTTTGAGTGTGCGGACTCAAAGGTAAACAGAAGCTATCCGGCGCGTGGTTCGTAAGCCCTACATATGTGGTTTAAACACATAATGACATTAAATAAATAAAAATAAAATATTATACATATACATATATATATATATATACATATATACAGGGTGTTTTTCTTAAGCTTAACAGAATTTTTAAAAAGAAACCATGAAAGCTAGTTTAATGCAGTCTGCGCAGGTGAGTTATACGGCCAGGGGGACATAGTATAGGGGGCTAATCGTAACAATCGGTCGGCTACTTTGTTAAAATTCGTTAATTAACTTTTTAATTAGTGAAAATAGAGATATAGTTCCAATTATAAACTTGCTCAGTGTCCCCGAAAACCAATAAATCAGTAATTTTCAGAAAGACTTTGAACGCGTGAGAAGCGTAGTTGTGCACTAAAGTTACCGCTCGTGGAGTAGGTACAAGGCTGGGGCTAGATTAGAGACGGAAAAATTGCGCGGGCGCCTTATCGCAACCACTAGCTTTGTACGTGCTCCACGAGTGCTAACTTTTATGCACTACTACGCTTCTCACGCGCTCAAAGTTTTTCTGAAAATGACTGATTAAGGGGTTTTCGATGACGCCCAGCAAGTTTCTAGTTGAAACCATATGTCTATTTCATTAATTAAAAAGTTCATTAATGAATTTTGTCTAATTAGCCGACTGATCGTTACGATTAGCCTCCTATCATATGTCCCCGTGGCCGTATAACTCACCTGCGCAGACCGCATTAATCTAGCTTTCATGGTTTTTGAACAAAAATTCTGTTAAGCTCTAAAAAAATAGAACACCCTGTATATATATATAATATAACCAGCTTCAGGCAGTTCATGAGTTGGAACAAGTACCGAAAGTGAGTTGCCAAAACTTCCGTCATTGAAGCATTAAAAGTCAAGGCACTAGTCATGAACGGGACCAAAATATTGTGTATAGGGTGGTTCAAGTGACGAGGCTCGATCTAAAATGGACCGTAAAGATCGACGCCTGCACGTAGCAATTTAAAGTTTTTGTCAAAGGTGTATTTCACAGGTCCTTTTTTTCTTGTAAAATTACAAAGCGTAGCTCTCTTTCTGCAAAAAATAAGGCCTAGAGACTTGCCAGAGTCTACGGCGGGCAGCGACGCAGTCGACAGGAATCCAGTAGTGGGGTGCCTTCGGCGTTTGTATTGATAGATGGCGTCGGGAGCAGCGTTTGAAGGTGCAGCCGACCAGCAAAAAAAAAGAAGACGACACGCAGACGAAATCCCTTGGCAGCAAAAGCGCCGCCGTCATGCAGACGCGTTTTTTTTACTTTAAGTTTTGCTTGTATTGTCCGCATTTATTTTTTAACCGAATGTACATTTCAAAAAAGATTATGTTCATTTTAATAAACCACGATGGACGCGAGCCGTCGCGATAAGGATGTAGTGCCGTCTATCAATACGAACGCCAAACACACCCAGCTACTGGATTCCTGTCGTCTGCGTCGCTGCCCGCAGTGGACCCTGGCAAGTTTCTCGGCCTTATATTTTACAGAAAAACAGCTCCGCTTTGTAATTTTACAAAAAAGACTGACCTGTGAAATACAGATTTGACGAAAAGTTCAGATTGCTACGAGCAGGCGTCGATTTTTACGGTCCATTTTAGATCGAGCCTGGTGACTTGGACCACCCTATACATAACGGGAGACCTTTGCGACTTTGCTTGCCTCTAAGTGTTCTAGGATAATGCTATCAATCCTCGCCAAAACCAAGTCGATAACCACGGGAGAAATACACGATTCAATGCAAACCCCTTGCCGTTGAAAATAAATATTGATTTCCCAAGTCGCAAAAGTCGACTTAGGTACAAGTCAGGGAGTTCCAAAAAGCCTTCAGCTGAAAGGCCCGCAGCATACTAAAAGCATCAGCACCGAACTTGTTAGTAAAGACGCTTATGCAAGCAACAAGTTCATTGCGAGGCAATGAGTAATCTAAATCATTAGTGCCAAACGAGCAGGGCATAAAACTAGTGTGCTGGTTATATGCCCTGCTCGTTTGCCTTTCGGCACGTGTTCTAACTCATGAACTGCCTAGAAGTGATTGCATCAGATTTCTAGATTTAATGTTACCTATGTGTCCAAGCCATATACATTGGGCTTACGAACCAAGCGCCGGAAAGCCTTTGTTACGTTTTGAGTCAGCACACTAAAAAATAGTAAAGCGGGCGATTGCAAGGATCTGCTATACACATGCTCTGCAACCCTGCTTCAGTGAGGAAAATCAACTCTTCAGTGTCGCTGGTTACCCCTCCCACATGTTGATAGTAATGTAAAAGTTTCCTCTGAAAGAAAAAGAAAAAGATTGAGCATATGACTTGCGAAGATGGTAATACAAAAAAAAAGAAAAAAAAAGCACGGGAAAAAAAAGTTTCTTGTCACTCCGTATATTCACGGTTCGGTTCACAACCTCTAAAGAATAGCAGGGAAATGTGTCGTGGATGTGTTGTTCTCCGCGCCTGAAAAACTATCAAGGTTGTGCACAGCCGTCAACCCCTCTGTTTGGGATGCTTAAACTTGCAAGAAGAAGCATCATGATTATCTCGTCACTTTTGCTGAAGAGGTGGTTCGTTCACTCCCTTCGTCGTGCAACAAGCGTTATGTGGGAAAAGCGGGCCGCTGTCTTAATGTCAGGCTGACAGAATCCGCTTACATAGTGTCCTCGGTGATATCTGGTCACCTGAGCATTCATTGCCATTACTCGAAGCGTGCACGAGCTTAGAAGATGTTTGTCCCACTACTTCTTCTAATTCAGGGATTATTATCGTTATTCTTGTCAAGCTCGCTTGCTCCTTTGCAATAACTGCATTATTATCATTAAAAGATGTGATGTTATAAAACGTGAGCGTGACCAGCTGACATCTGAAATTCTTGAAGCCTTAGAAGTAGCAAAAATATGGGATGTATGCGTCAGCCCCCTTTCAATTGCCCTCTCAAAAAAGAAAAAAAAAGAAAAGAGATTGCGCTTTTTTGTACCATGATTTGCGTGGGTTATGTCCTTTATCACTTTTAAAGATCCACTGGCAGGGAATTCATGCTCGCCAAGGTTTTTATTTGTACATTACAAATAAAAACTCTACTCTGGTGTATTTTTACTGCGCACAAGTTGGCATGTGATGCAAGTACAGAGTTGTTAAGCTTGTCTGAATTTCACTGACCGCGTTTCTTAAGTTAAGCTCATCGCTTAAATTTCGAGGAGCTCTGGATACCTCCAGTTTTAATTAAAATACCTGTCGATTATAGAACTCGTTTGTTTCACTGTCAAAAGAAAAAAAAATAGTTCACCATAAATGTAGGGTTCGAGCAATAAGAACCCTCGTTTGTTTCACTTGACGTAAACATAGACAGTGCTTCAAATTAAAACACTCGAGCATTAAAAAAAAAAGCCGCTCCCGTTCAGAAGATTCCTTAGGAATTGCCACACAAGAATGGGTAATGTCGTAATGCAAGCAAATAATTTTGTTTTCTCTTTATCGTCCAGCAGGTGACTCGTCGCTCACGGAGCAACCTCAGCAAGTAGCACGGGATTTCTTCAATAGTCTGCTCCGAAGACTAGTTTTTCAATACAAATTGGACCCCTTGAGAATTAATAATTATACTACGTCATCCAGCTGGGGGCCATTTACAGTAACGACAACCTTTTACAGCATCGCCATTTGTGGATTAAGTTCCGTCAAAAGGTCAGGTCCAAATTTCTTCAAAGCCAACAAGAACGGAACAACTGTGACAGTGAACCTGGCGACAGATGAGCTCACATCCACAATATACGCAAACGTTTCTGCATTTGTATTGGAATGTTCGATGAAAATTATACTCAAAGCTAAGTCATTAAGCATCAGGCTGGCAATTGCAGAGTAAGTATTTCATTGTGTGTTTCATTCTTAGGTAATATTTTCTTTATATTGTGTAAATTTTAAACTTAACGCTTTTTGTGGAAAACTTAACTCAGCCCATGACCCTATGGTGGTGTTTGAACACACGAGTTTCACTAGAATGTTATATTGTACTTGAATCCTCGCAGCTGTCACAATTGACCGAGACAACGCGAAAGAGACCAGGAGGATAATTTGAAGTAGAATGTTGCATTTTCAATTGACAGAATACATCAATGCATATACCATAGCTGAACAAAGATAATCTATAAAACGCAGAGACAACTCCGACGACAGCTATAGTTTTCCCGGGCCCCACTTTTTCGTAAAGGTGCGGTGTCTCAACGAACTCAACTGAGTAAGTGAGTGTACGACCTCGAGGAATGTAGAAGGTGTTTGAAATAACCAAGCTCGATCTAAAATGGGCCTTACAAATCGCCGCCTGCACGTAGCAATCTAAATATTTCGTCAATGGTGTATTTCACAGGTGGCTTTATCTTGTAAAATTACAAAGCATAGTTCCCTTTCTGTAAACAGTGAGGCCAAAAAACTTGCCAGGGTCAACGGTGGACGGCGATGCAGACGACACAGTCGAGTGGCGGTCCGCGTTTGGCGCACGTATTCATAGATGGCGCTATCTCCTTATCAAGACTGCTCGCGAAGACCGTGGTCTATTAAAATTAACATAATAATTTTGTAATGCACCTTTGGCTTAAAAATAAATGTGGGCAATAAAAGCAAAACTTAAGGTATAAAAAAAAAAACGCGGTTGCATAACGACGGCGCTTTTGCTGCCGACAGATTTTGTCTGCGTGTTTCCTGCCTTCTTTCGCTGGTCAGCTAAGCCTTCTGACGCTGCTGCCGACGTCATATACCAATGAGTGCACCATACGCGCCCCGCCACTCGACAAGGTTGTCTGCGTCACCGTCCGCCATTAACCCTGGCAAGCTTTTTTACTTTATATTTTACAGAAAGGGAGCTACGCTTTGTAATTTTAGAAGATAAAAACTAACTTGTGAAATGCACTTTTGACAAAAAGTTTAGATTGCTGCGCGCCGGCGCCTATTTTTACGACCGATTTTAGATGGAACCTGGTCATTTCGGATACCTATATAAAGGAAGCATTTTAGCAGATAACCGGGATTGCATTGAAGCGTGCGTCCCAAGCTGATAGTAAACTTTCCGTGCCTGTCTGTCTGTTCTCAAATTTTTTGTTTCCAAATAGACTTTTTCCAAAATTCGAAGCGCCTAATCGCGGCGGAATGCCACGTTATGCATTGTGGGACTGGGAGTCAATGGGCAGCAAAATCTATAGGCGCTCCGCTCCTGCTGGCCCACAGGTTCCCAGAATGCAACGCGCGCGGTGACGGATTTATGGAAGTAGTCTACTAGACACTTCTCTACCCATATATGAAAAAGGCGGCCTAAGAGCAGTATTCAATCTAAGACTTTTATCAGGTGCACTGTATTTGCATAGTCAAATGTTCGTTTAGCCTTAGCAGTAGCTGTAGAAACCTCTGGTAGTCGTCTTCAGTTACGTTAAGGGGGATTTAACCGCTCTTTATTTGTACCCTTTTCCTCATAGATGGCGCAGAATTTTTCCGGAACAAACGAGTTGCATGCTCGCAGCTGCGCATGCAGGTCGGGTGCTCGAGGTGGGCTCGGGCCACGGGCTGTTCGCCGCCGATCTCAAGTTAGATCTTCTTCGCCCTGCGTCCGCCGCTGCCGGAAGCGGCCAACGGGCGGCGCGAGATACGAGCCAGTATAGACGTAGATTATAGTGGCTTACATAAAGCAGAATAAGCTCTGATTGCCGACTGGATTCGAAGTTCTAACCACGCTCAAATTATCGAAAGTTTATGGTGCGGCGGTGCGGCCGTTTGGACCAGCACATTTGGCATGCCTCACAAAATTCGAATTCCAAACGTGTACGTACCTGAAACAGTACACCTGAACGTTAATTTGTAAAATAAATAAATAAATAAATAAATAAATTGTTTATTTTTTAGTGCTCAAATCAAAGCCAGAAAACCAAGAAAAGATGTATAAATAAAGCGGCAGTTTTGCACTTCCTATGTCCTATATCGGTTTGTTCTTCGACTGAATACTGGCTTGCAAACTGGCCCCCAGGAGGTGTGGAGAACGCAAAAACGCACAGAGAGAGGCTGGTGGTGAGCAGGATAACCACGATAAATAATTATTTTAGTGAAATATATGAATGATAATGCTGTTCAAATTCGCATTTAGAATAAAAAGGTTATCTTTTTGATAAGAATAAATTCTAATGTAGACGAAAGTTTGCTTTATTATGTCGTCTGCTATCCGTTCGTGTATCTCTGCTAGGCGCGGAAGACGCGTAGAGAGGGACTAAAATGTTATACAAATACAGGGTGTCCCCACCCCCTTACAAAAAAAAGTTTAATTTTTTTTGTTTCTTTTTTACCGCGAAAATAAACTGCATCGCCGAACGCTGATTCTCCGAACGGGATGCCAAAGTTTCAACGCTAACCCTCATCTTATAAAGAAGTTAAAGTGATTTTCTGAAATTTTCATTTGGAAAATGGCGGCAGACCGAGCTCTCGATTACATGGAGCTCTAAGGCGCATGGCGCCAGTTTACAAAGACAGGCGAAAATGGGCCGCCTCAGCACTTTCTGCACTTCCATTGTCTGAGTAAAGCAGAATCGCCTTACCATAACTTTGAAGGAGGTCTGAATTTTTGGTTATTTTCTTTCGTAGATATTGCAACTTTTTTTCGCCTCCTCCCAGTTATCTACCAGCTTTTCATTCTACTTCTAAGAAAGGCCAATCTCGTATTTTCCACTCACCTTTCACAAATGGCTTCCCTATGTCGTCGGGGAGACATTCAATTGACACGTCAGTAGCCCCTACGCTCTCGAGTTCCCAAAATCGTCTGAGAGTCGATGTGAGACCCGATTCTTTTGTCGTTGACGTCAGTACGATTGTTTGTGAGCAGCTCACGACCGCAGAGCCTGGCGTGGTCCGTCCTTTGACGGCCCATCCGAATACATTTCCCACTGCCGACAGGTCCGTACTTAATCGGAGAATTCTGCCTTTGACGCACTCCCAGTACTAGTATGATCCTAGCAAAATGTCGACGTCGTAGTGCTCTAGCCTTGTCACGTCGTCTCTTACTTGGGAACCAAGTCCCTCCAATGTTGCCAATATGCTTTCATCTGGGCTTGGAAGATCCTGTTCGCAGACGGCGGGTATTTCGAGAGCGTCGATCTCATACAATCTTCTGTCGCATTGATCTAGCAAATACACTTTAACCCAACGAAATGTTCTTTGACAGGTGTCGAGTCCGAATGCGCCGACTCTGAGGACCTCGGAATCGAGTAGTCGGCAGTTCATTCTCTTGGAAAGTTCTTCAGTAATAAAGGAACGTTGAGTGCCGCTGTCAAGCACGATTCTGGCAAACTTTATTTTCTTCCTAGCCTCCACCCATGCGGTTAGTTTGTAGGTGGACGGCTGTAAGCTGACCTGTGTCGTACTCAATTTCTTCTGTTTTGATGCCTCGTTCGATCGTGCAGCTGGGCTTTCAGAAATAAAACTTGGGTCGCTCATGTTCATGACATGTTTTCCGTAGCTCTTTTTGCAGCAAGGCAAGATAGCTACACATTCTCGCCCTGTGATTCGCTTTTGTGCAGCCGAAGAATAGGTTGTCGGCCAGTCATCTTCGTTTTTTATCAGTGAACTCTATGTTGGCCTTGCAGTAAAGTGCGACTTGCTCCTTTCATTCGCAGAACAAACATTCGAAGCCTTCAATACTGCCCCGCAAGGCCGACGCGGTAGAGTTTCGAAGCTTCGTGTAGTTTGAGAGCTTGTTCGGGGCAGTTTTCTTTTGGGGAAACGAATTCAAGGTTTATCGACAATTATGTCTTCTTCTTGCTCTGATGTCTTTTCCCGGCTCTCCGCCTCGATTCGAATAAATTTGAAAAAAATTCTTAGAGCTTTCAATTCTTCCGGCGGCCGTTGAACTTGATAAGTCTCAATTTTGGAAGCTTGCTTTTCGCTTGCCGGTGTTGCTCTCCGATCTTCGCTCGATGAAGCGCTTGCTTGCTGGCTGCTCTCCGCGCCCTTTCCTTTCTTTCTGAGCTTCGAGGTGCACGTAACGATCTTGTCGGTATTGTCTATGACTTTGTGAACTGCGTTCCTGCGTCTTTTTCGTCAGCCAAAAAGTTCCATCGTGGCGTCTACGTGGCTGAGTTGATCCCAAGCGAGGCTTAGGTGCTCGATCTAAATCTCCAGATCACCTATGACCGGCGGAATCAGCTGAAGTAAATCCGCTGACTTGCTGAGGAGTTGCGTTGCTTCCATTGGGAGAATCTTCTTTTTTTTTAGGTTTTTTTTAGAAGGTCTATGATAATTATCTCTTCTCTCGATGGAACGCTGCTTGCCTGCGTCGTTCGATATATCTATTGCTGCGGTCTACCAGATTCCCTTCGTTGAGTCACTACCCCCAGGTTTAGGCAGCAAATATAGGAACCTTTGGTAGTCGTCGTTAGGTACGCTAAATCAAACATTTATTTGCGCTATAGACATAAAAAGCAAAGAAATTAAGCAAGGGGTCTGTGGCGGTGGCGGCATATATAATCTACTAGAAATTGATGTTCAGCCGATTTGTCGTATATTTAGTTCCTCTTTCCCGATGTATGTCATTGAACCATATTAAAAAAAAAATATTGTGAGTGATAAGTACATACTACCAGGTTATGATATTCGTTTTGAATTTTATGTAGTTTAAACATATACTCCAGATAGTTTTCAAGATTTTCAATTGAAGTGTTTATGCAATCTGTATTAGATGGTCAATTAACTCACGAAAACAAGTACAGTTATTAAAAAGGCCAAAGTTCTATTTTATTTCGATAACAAAAACTGTGGCGGGACGGAAAATACAAAACAAAAGGGCGGATAATAGGCAACAATTATTGTTAGATATGCGGCTAAAATTTATCAGGGGCACCGAAAAGGAGGAAGCATATTTTATAGCTTGAGACGGATGCCCGTCAAGGCCATCCGATCTAACGCACAAACCGTTGGAAGGATAGCGGGATCCGACACGGTTGATCGGATTGGCACTGACGCATGTGACCGACATGACAAATATTTACGGAACGGCAGTTCAACTGACTGACGGACGCAGCCACTCTCACATACGGATGACGAAAACGTCATGTTGACATTACCTGAAGACAGTCAAAACGCGGAGCGGCTGCAGGCGATGCGAGTTGTCGTGCGAACAATGGACGCTCATGAAGTCTTCCCGTATCACACAAAACCAGCTGCTCATTTCTTTCGTTCAGAGCGAGCTGATGCTTTCGGTTCAGCATGATAATATACCGAAACAGAAAAGTCAACGTGAACCTCTGAGCATTTGCTTCGACAAGAATGGGCTTTTTTAAAATTTTGGTTTGAAAAAAAGAAGTTATTAAACTGTACTGGAGTATGATAAAACATTACATGTAAACACAGTCGGAAAACGTATTATGTAAGGAAGCACCTGCTATACAAAAGGATATTTTCCATCCAACACGATTGAAAGACTAAAGGCATAATTTCTGAAGACACGTGAAACAAATATACGCAAGACAATTTCGAAAATGAGTAAGAAACACATACGTCGACAGCCTATTCAATTCATGAAATACTAGTCCATAAAAAAGAGAAGGCGAAAACATCACTGTGAAAGTAGTATAGGTCGGATTCTGTTTGGATTGTCCGTCCTTCTCGACGTATTCCCTTAAAGGTATATATAAATATTCATTTAAAGGGTCCCAGACAACGACTGCGTATTCAATGCATGGACGAATGAATGTGAAATATGTAGTATCCTTAATTCGGCTTGAGCCCTAGTCTAAAATGTTGGCGTATAATGTTAAATATGTTTATAACGTTTACAGGTGTAATATCAAAATGGCTCTTTTACGTGAAGTCTCTAGATAGCAGAACACCCATGTACTCTATATTTCAACTAATCTAAATTATTTCTTTACTTTTAGTGCGGAAAAAAATGACACAACTTTTTCCGTAAATCCCACGTGCATGCACTTTTTAACGATCAATGCCATGCTCCACTTCTCAATTAATAAATGTACATATTGGCTAAGACTCTGTGCAATTTCAATATAATTAGTGATTAATTAATCTATAAATACTAGAGACATCTGAAAAAGGTTTAAGATTCGATTGTATGTCATTAATATTATAATTTATATATATCAGAAAGAGCAAAAAAAAAATATAGCTTTCGGCATCAACACAAGTGACTCCTACATATTCCTATGTTTCTCAATTTTGTGGCCAACAGTGAAGCTCCAATCAACCTAATTCTCTCGGATACTTCGATTAGGTAAAAAAAAGGGGGGGGGGAAGGATCATGAACCCTCAGCAAATTCTTCTCATTCGCCAAATCTTTAGGGTACCAAATGAAATGTGCATTTTTTCCCATTTCAAAACCAGAAAAAAATATACACTCGTAATATTCATCGCGGGAAGCGTTATCACATTCCAGAGAAGTCAGGTAACATTGAGGTGCTGATACGTGCGGGCGAAGTCTTCTTTGGTGATATTGGAACTAGGCAGGAGTTGATCGAAGTCACCCGCCGGAAGCTAGGTGGCATGTATTTGCTTCAAATTGTCGTGGGCGGCGATTCGAGGCTTGAAAGACCTAACTGAGTTCGGAGCTATTAATATTTTTTTTTTACAATTCGTACATCTAATATGACGGCTCTGACGCATATATCTTGGGCTCGTTTATACGGTATGGAAGACATGGTTGTGTGAGCCTTTCATGATAATTATCTCAAATTTATTTTTGACCTTAACTGACCGCAGTGCTACAAAATATAAATTACGGAATGAAGTTTTTTTTTTTTTATAATTAGGTGACTGATAACCCAGGCCAAAAACTGATATATAAAGCACATATATTATTCACTCCTTAACGAAAACCAGAGAATCCGAGACAAAATTAAAACTAAGATAATTAGAACTTCGATACTACATCTTGAGCTTTCCCAGACGGAATTGTGCACAGTGCTGATGTCACAGTTTCTGTGAATCCCGACGGCATCACTTTACTGTTTACGCAGAGAACTTATTAACGGAACCCCAATCTGTAGGAGCGATTTAAAATCAATGAGGTTAATCTTTAATTTAAGCAAAAAAGTAAAGGATTATTCTGTGCAAATTTTCAAAATCAAATTTTGATAATATATATTTTATGTCTGACACCTTTGCGAGTTGCATGCCATTTGAGACTCCTATTTTGTGTCACCAAGTGAAGGAGCCGAAGTTATTTTCAATTTATTTAAAAGAAACTGTTCACAAAGCGCCGAATAAAACGTGGGTCTAGTTCGTTGGCAACGTTCCTCTACCCGAATCCTTTTGCCGCGCACCATCGTCGTCCTCTTCCTACTCACCAAGCACGCTTGTCCGCGAGAAAACCCTACCATCATTTGTTTCGCTGTGATTTAGTTCTTTCCTAAGCAACTGCGTAACTGACGATGACAACCAGGTCAGCTTTTATACAAAGACTGGCGCCTGCTGTGTACCGACCTCTACTGTTTTACTCGCCTAGCAGAATCTAAGAAAAGTGAAAGGGGCGAACGAAAGCAGATCAGTTGGAAAATTTCTTTCTTCTATCCAAGCATTTTAACAAAATTATTAAATGTTTGGCTCAGCACTGACAAAAAAGTGTCCTCCTGAAATTAGCTTTAAGAATGTGATAACGATATCAAATTTAATAATGAACTAACATCCTTTACCTTCCAGAAAAACACCTCGAGAGCTCAAAGTGGTGTCGTTGGAAGCTGCATTGGACAGTGTACAAATGGAGATAACAAGAATTGGCGCCTACAAAAGTTTGTGCAAGACATCGGAAAGTATGCTTGGAACAAGTATAAACACATTATTAACCACAGATTTTAACACCACTATCTACCAACTGATTGATCACCAAGTGAAGAGGCTGAACAACTATGTTAATGGACACTCAACGGCCAAGTAAAGATTTCTTTTTTGTTCCAAATAAATTGCACTATCGAAAACATAGAAAAGTTAATAGTGGAAACACTACAAAGGCAAACTAAGGAAGACAACGGTGGATGTTTTAGCACGTGTGTGCAAAAGGAAACCAGAAAGCTTTATTTCTACATTATATGGATGTAATTGCATATGAAAAGCACTACTAGGCCTCTAATGTTGTAGTCCTTCACTTGACGCTCTGTTGATTGGTAAAATAACAGCCATAATTGGTCCAAGGGTATAATAAGTCACGATATATTTTTAAACATTAAGTATTTTATTACACATTTTCACTAGGGTAATTACACATTTTTTTTTTAAATACAAGACATTTTTTTTGTTCAAGTTTCGTGGATATATGTATACACGAGTGCATGAAATTAAGTACCGAGATAGTTAATACACAAAACATAGTTCAAAATGAATAACTCAGTCATGGGTCTAGTGTTTAAACGTTGAGAGTCTCTAGGGCGTTTGGCTTAACACTGGTAGCGATATCGTCAAGCCTGGCATTCGACAGGTCCTTTACTATAGAAATTACACACTTATAAATTTGTGATAAATTATACTTCAGCTCCATGCAATTGATTTAATTGCCGCGCTGACCTAAACATGGTTTTGCGTTCAGCTCGTCTGGTAACGCAACAAAAGTAGATTATTGGAGCTATGTGCTTTCGGAGAACGCAGCTTAAAAAGCGTGCACTGCGACGTTCTTGACCAAAGAATAACCATGGCGATATTTTTTAGTTTTTTTTTTGTCAGCGAAGCTTAAGGTATAGAAAACGTCCGTATTTATTATTAGATCAACGGTTATGCTACAGTGCATGTGCAGTATAAGGCTGTCTTCACAACGTCTGGAACTAATTTCGTAAAAGGCGCCTAAAATACCAAAATTGTTCCTCCGCGTCCTAAAAAAACGGTCCCTAGATTTCCACCCGATGACGTCAGAGAAGTGCCATGTCGCAGCCGGCCGTGACCTTGACGGTGTCAGAGTGTGGCAGACGCTTGTTATGCTGAAAGTGGCCCTCCAGACTGACGGTCCACGAAAGTTGACGGTCCACGACAGCGACACTCGCTTTATTTCGTGTTTTTTTCTTTTACTAGATCTACGCGCAACCGCCAGGGTCGCGACATCCAACAGTATGGCACTCGGGATTTTGCGACGTCATCTGGTGCAATGGACCTTTTCCACATACCGACGGCACCAGGCGGTGGCCGCACGAACTGAGAATCGAGGAAGTGACCTACCTGCGCAACCAATCGATAAAGGGAGCTACGCTACCAGTTTTTTCGCTCTTTTAGCTGCAGCGCGTGCCCAACGCAACTTTACAGAGGGGCATCGGGGGCGTCCACCCGAACGTTGTGTTTTTATTTCCGTCGACTTTCTTTTTCTGTGTAACACAATTATATATATGCTGCAATTACGTGTGCCACTCGCTGATCCACAGCCTCCTTCCAAATTTTCTCGATTCTTCGTGCCGACTTCCGCCGCTTGGCATCGGGCAATCGCGCGTGCGTAGAACGCATCTCGGAAAAGGTCCATTTTGGGACCACTTTTAATGCGCGGGCGGAATAGGACGCTAAAGGCACCAGTCGGAGACGCGTTCTAGGCTCCGCTTCTAAGAAGTACTATGCACTAATTTTGAAGGTAGTGAACTACATACAAGGTGGTGGCTTCCTGTTGCCAGAAAAACTTCCGGTTGAGTCGGTCTGCATGGGTATATATTGTGTGTATGCTTGCATACGAGGATTCTTCAATGACGAACGAGTATTATCGGAGTTGACCTTCGAAAGATCGGACTTGCTACGAGAAAACATTGACATGCCAATACTTCGTTTGCGCTCATTATGGAGTGCAGTGGACGCTATTAGGCACATTAGCCAATTCAGCTCTTCAAGCGAGCCGTGTGACTTTAAGCTTCTTGCCTGTTCTCCGTGTCACGTTACCTCCCAAAGAGAAGGTTACGTCACACGCTCTGAGCTATGGGTGGGCTCCGGTTGCTCGTAGTGTTCGTTTAGATATATCGTAAGGTGAAATGGAGAAATTGGAGGCCCTGCACTCATCTACCCGTTCGATCCAACAAATGCAGGGATGCTTTGATGAAGAGTGGTGTTTGTGTCCGTAATTTACCTTCTCGAAGTCGCCTTATGTATTTTAGTATGGTTACAGCGAATATTACACTATAAAACGAATCAGAAAAATGGGCACTTGCACATAGAAAGATCGAACATTCACCGAATGTGCACTTAGGTTGTCAGTTTTATCCCGTGAAATTTCAAGGCGAAATTCTCTTCGTGTAAGAAACGAGGCCAACAAACTTGACGAAGACAACGACGCACATGTTCGCAGACGACCGAGTTAATGATGAACGTAACTTGTGGCGCCATCTCCTGATAGACTCGGCGAGCAGGAAACGAAGTGCGTCGTCCGCTTGCTGCGCCTATCGATAGATGTCGCCACAAGTTATATTTATCTATTTATTGCTAACTCGGTTGTCTGCCAGCACGTCCACCTCTGACCTTGGGAAGAGTGCTGGTTTTTCGGCTTATAGGAACGTAACTACGCTTTAAATTATCATAAGTATAGCTCAATTGACATTCGATGAATGTTTGAGCGTTCTATCTGGCTGCACCGATATTTCCGAACCGTTTTACAAGGTAAGATACACTGGTAGCCACTCTTTATAACCATAAGTTCCGTGGAGTTGTCAAGCTAGGACCGCCAGTAAAGGCCTACACACACAGTTGCGTTTCGCTTCGTTACGATGAGTAATGACCCCGAGGTGTGTGGGCTTACACACTTCGTATGTCCCGTACATAGCTGTTCCTTGAATTGTTTTTCCGGCGCTTCTGGTCGATATCGCAAGAGCGAATGACATTTTAGCGAACAGCGACATCTGAGCGAATCGACGTTTTAGCGAATAACGGGGGCGCGCGTTAACCCATCCGTCGCGCTGCGCTTCACGCCGCTTCGCGGCGACAGTCTGCGGCGGCTCAATACAAAAGTGTGAACCCACTTGGCCCACCCGAAAACGCCGCTTCGCGGCGTCCGACTGTTCGCTGAAGTGTCGTTCGGTGAAACGTGGGCGTTCGCTAAAACGTCATTCGATGAAGGGGGTGCCTCCCGTGTTTCCCGAACCCCTACCAATAGGTTTAGCTCAGGCAGGCCGTGGGCGCCGCTGTGTCGGGGCACGCTACTCGGATGCGAGGAGGTAGGCCGTATGCCGCTTGTACTTCTCGGGTGACTTGCTACGGGCGCACACTTCGAGACCATGACACTTAGACGCGTCCGCCCCTCCGGGGTGTGTTCGTAATACCGTCAACCACGGGCGCGTCCATTTCCCGCACGCTTTATAAGCCGGTCCGAAACAAAGGCCGGGGGCTCTCGTCAGGAGGGGGCCTTGGCCCACGGAGCTCTATTTGAAGCTCTTCCTCTTTCCGTGAATTTGCCTATTGCTGTAGCGCGGAGTCCGATCGGTGGTCCTGTCACATCAAGGCACCGCCGATTCAAGCGTGCAGACGCTTGAGTCAATAAACACCTCGTCCTACGGGCCCACAGACATACCGTGTTCCTGAGTGGTAACCCCGAAAGGGAAAGCCCACAGTTCTCACATCAAAGTCAAAAACTGCTTTAGTGGCAGTCGTGCTTTAAATGAACCGCCGCATCCAATTCAATAAGTTCGACATGTGGCATAAGAAACACCGATAACCCGGTAACTCGTAGTTGCATTTCGGCGTAATATGATCAACTATACTCAAACGCTGCTGAGTGAATTTAGGGGCAGATGACGAGAAACGCACTGAGCGTGCGAATGCTCCTGGTTTGCACGCGGCCTTGAAAACCTTGAAAACCCTTGAATTTGGGGGGGGGGGGGGGGGGAGTGTTGAGATACGGGAAAAGGGGATAAATGTCCATGCGTACTATTATTCACCCTAAGAGGGGAAAAGACTCGCATGACCAAAGGGATGGGGATTAAAAGTGGGATAGGGTGTGTGGGAACCCATCGTGTTCCTTCCCACCACATCGTGCGCTGCTGACGCCATGTGGCGATAGCATCGAAGGGGCGTCGTCGAAGTGGACAATCTCGTGCCCACAGCGGCGCTGCCTGAGGATGACGAGGCTAGAAAAGCGACGGAGAGACGACGGTTACGGCTCTCGGCTGTGCGGGACAAACCAGGACGGCTGCCTGGCTTCTTGAGCGCGGGGCTTTGATTGCCGCCGCTAGCCGGCGACCTGCCCGGAGCTGCGGCCCCCCCATGGAAGACTACTGCCTGGCTTCTGGGCCGCGGGGCTTGGATTGCCGCCGCAAGCCAGTGACCTTCCTGGAGCCCTTGATGCTGCTGTGCCGGGTAGAAACCAACGCGGCCACTTCCCCCGACCCACAGCTTCCCATGGACGACGTTTGAGCGCCTGCAGACCATTGGGAAGCCGACCCATGGACGCCGACTGCCCGGACTTTGACGTGAGGCTTGCCTCGTAAATATTGTTGGGTTAATAAACAGTTAACCTAGAGCGTGTGTCTGTGCACCCGAGGAAGGGGCGTTAAAGAACCGCCCACAGGTGTTAAAGGGGAATCACAAGTTCAAAGTTCCAGGCGGATTTAAAGGTTGGGAGGGGAGAGGAGAGAGGGGAAGGGGTGTGGGGAGTGGGTGACGTGCGCGATACGAGTGCGAGGGGAAGACTTGCAGGGGTCATGGGCGCTCGGCAAGCTCTGTCCGGTGGAGAAACTCTAGCACGGCACGAAAAATGCTCCATGCTTGCTGCCGGCTACCAGTGGGGAAAAGGAGACACGTGGTTGTAGCCCTTTGTCCTCCTGCGTTTAGGACAGTGGCGAAGAACACTTTCCTTGCCGCGTCGATGAGGAGTATATGGGTGATGTCCTCGGGGTCCCCACACACTGTGCACTTCGGGCTGTCAACTCTGCCGGCTCGGCCGTCGGTAACTTCAGCGCACTGCTGCGCTTCTTACGCGCTCAAGGTCTT